AATAATTTCAGAAAATAAATAAATGAAATTAATCAATCAAAAAATGATGGTTTCAAGGCAAAAATATTCTGGAATCTATCGAATTAGGGGAACTTAATCCCCTTATTCGATAGAAATGTACTAACGAGGGGAACCTCTTCAGCACATTTTCGAAATGAAAGAAATTTTCAAAATTTGGAATTGAACCTTTGAAAAAATGGAACAAAATTGTCCTGAAAGGTTGGGCTCAGACGATTCAGCTTCATTTGAAACGTGCAGATTCATTATCCCCTAAAGTGGACAATTCACGTGAGTTGTGCCAAAGGTCGTATAAATACTTTCCGAGAGGATATGAAATCTCCACGTTTCAGGTTCCCCTCTTTAGCACATTTCTATCGAATTAGGGGAACTTAATCCCCTAATTCGATAGATTCCAGAATATTTTTGCCTTGAAACCATCATTTTTTGATTGATTAATTTCATTTATTTATTTTCTGAAATTATTANAATGTGAAAAAAAAATCTTGACATTTCCAAAACTTTGAATTGAACCTTTGAAAAAATGGAAAAAAATTGTTTTAAAAGGTTGGGCTCAGACGATTCAGCATTATCTGAAACGTGCACATTCATTATCCCCTAAAGTGGACAATTCACGTGAGTTGTGCCAAAAGGTCGTATAAACACTTTCCCAGAGGATATGAAATTTCCACGTTTCAGATGTTTCTGAGTCATCTGAGCCTATCTTTCCGGAACCAAATGTTTTATTTTTCTACAAGGAATTTGAAAAATTTTGAAATTTCAGGCCAAAAGGTCGTTAAACATTTTCGCTGAAAATATGAAATCTCCACGTTTTCGATGATGCTGGGTCATCTGAGCCCAATTTTACGGGACAATTTTTTTGATTTTTTTTAAACGTAATTTTTTGAATTTTTCGAAAATTTGTGCCAAAAGGTCGTATAAACGCTTTCCCAGAGAATACGTGTTCTCAACGTTTTTGGTGATTCTGAGTCATCTGAGCCTAAGTTTATGAGACAATTTTTTTATTTTTTTACACGTCATTTTTTTTCCCTGAAAATTTGGGCCAAAAGGTCGTATGACCNTTGAGCCGAAGTTTATGAGACAATTTTTTTTATTTTTTTACACGTAATTTTTTTTCCCTGAAAATTTGGGCCAAAAGGTCGTATGACCTCTTTCCCAGGGAATATGAAATCTCCACGTTTTTGATGATTCTGAGTTATCTGAGCCCAATTTTTCGAGATAATTTTTTTCATTTTTTTATGGGGAATTTTTCAATTCTTTGAAAATACGGATAAAAAAGTCGTATAAACACTTTCCTTGAGAATAATAAATTTCCACGTTTCAGATATGTCTGGGTCATTTGAACCTAATTTTTTGGAACATAGTTTTTGGTCTGCTTAAAAACAATTAGGAGACTTTTTAAAAATTCGAGCCCAGGAATCGTATACATACTTTTCCAGTAAAATTTTCTTTTCTCAATTTCTTCACAGAAAAAAGTTTTCGATGGAAAACAAAAAACATTTTTAATTAATGAAAAAAATCAAAAAAAGGAAAAACAGGGCAGAAATAATATTTAGATAGAATAGAGTGGAATCCCACCTTTATTTTTGGATACTTTCCGAAACAAAAAGTTAGTTCCACAACAAAACTGAAAAATTTGCAATCCAGATGGGGAAAGGTGATACAACGCGGATTTTTTAACTTCTTTCGGAATTTCAGGACACTTCTTGTGATGTGAACAACTTTAAACCATGCTTAATCGATAGAACGGGAAATTTTCGGCAATAGTACATATTGAAGACTCAAAAAATGTCTTATCATATATTCTGATACCCAGAGTTTCAACAAAAAAGACGACAAAAAGTCAAAATCAAAGAAATTGACTTTTTCGATGATAATGGGGAGAGTTTTTCAAAGCTCTTTTGATAGTAGAAAAACCCATCGGAAAAGTCTCCACAAAATTAAAATTTTCAAGGAATGAAACCAGACCAATTTGTGGTGAAATCACTCCCAATACAATTTTGTGTTAATCATTCATTCCAGATTAACTCAAAAAATTGTCTCAAAAATGGCGGGGGGGAGGGGTATATTGAGAATTCACAACCAAAAAAAATTGAGTCGGTAAGTTTTTCAAAAATATCTGCGAAACTAAGGGAGATAGTGAATTTTTACTGAAAGTTTGAGGGGGGAGGGTTGTACATGGAAAATTCAATAAAACTTCCTACTCCCCTCCCGCCCCAAATTTTCAGTAAAAATTCGCCATCTCCCTTAATTTTGAAGAATTTTTGAAAAATCTATCGACTCAATTTTCTTGGTTGTGAATTCTCAATGCATCTCCCCCCCAGATTTTCGTAAAAATTCGCGGTCTCCTGTAGTTTCGGAAATACTTTGGAAAAACTCACCAACTCAATTTTAAAAGATTGTGATTTCTCAATGCCCAATCTCATCTCCCCCTCGCCCTTTTTGCAAAATCACCCCTCCTCACACCTGAAAAAAATGTACTGATTCAAATCGACGTCGGTTTGATTCTGACCAATTTTCAGTTTGATTCAGACCGACTGACTTGGACTACGCCAATCCGGATTCCGGGTCTGATATAAGTCGAAAGTCGATTTATTTCAAGTAGAAACAGGTTATTGCCGACATCGGTTTGAATCAAATCGAAAAATCGGTCTGAATCAGGCCGAAAAATCGGTCTGAATCAAACCGAAAAATCGACTTGAATCAAACCGAAAAATGGAGTGATTCACGC